GGGGAGCGGCCGCGGGGCCCCCCGCCCCCCCAGCCGTGCCCTGGTGACTGCAGCACGCGGGCACTGAGAGGATGCAGGACAGAACTGGGCCTGCTTTGTTCAACGTGCAGCATCGTTCTGCCTTTTTTTATTTCCTCGTATGCCCCCCAGACCACCACGTTACACCGTGAAACCCTAAAACCCTGCTCAGCTGGGGTGACTCACCAGGGCAGGGAGGGCAGGCTTGGCCGGGTGCTGGTGGGACGGGTGCCCACCCTCGGCAGCTCCGGGTGCCCTCTGCGTGGGAGGCAGAGATCCCTCGTTAGTGCCCGGTCCTGCAGAGAGGAGCTGAGCCCAGGGCTGCAGGAGGAGGCCCTGGCCCCAGCTGCTCAGCCTGTGCTGCCAGGGGCTGGGGACACTCACCGGAGCGGCCGCTGCTCCAGCCACCAGCGGGTGCAGCCCCTGCAGGTTCCCTGGGCCCGGAGGAGGAGGGTGTGGGGAGCACGAGGGGATGGCACCTCCCAGGGACCTCCTGGCCTGTTCCACCTGAGGGAATCGTGCACATCTCTGAGGCACTGGATCCAGCAGTGCTGGAGCTGCCCTTCCCTCTGCCCCACCGGGACGACCAAACGCCCAGACCCGATGGGACACGTGGCTGAGGAAGGGAAGGAATCCAGGGGGGAATGGGAGAGCAACGAGAGAGAAGACTTGTTCCCTTCTCTCACTCATTTCCCTGCAGCCCTCTCCAGCTGCAGATCCCCCCCTTCAATCCATCTGCCTGATTCCAGGCTATCTCCCCGTTCCTGGTTTGGTAGAAAGTCTCTCTCTTTTTACACTGTGGAGACCTTCTACCAGCAGAACTTCAGTCAGTAAATAATGCCTGTGTTACCAGTTACCAGTGTTTTTCACTAAAATCTCCTCCCTGTTTTTACCTGGTGAATTGCTCTTGAATGTATTATCTAAAATTAAAATTATTGCCCATTGTTCTTCAACTGCTGAGAGGAGCAGGCAGCTTCTCAGTGCATTCCTCTGGATGCATGCAGGCTGCTGCTACTCAAGAAATAAGGTACTGAGCATATTTCAGCCCAAACAAGAACAGCTTTTCCCACATGAGTCCAAGAAGCTTCATGGGGAAAGGAACCACTGAGTTTGGTGGGACTCCCCTGACTAACAGCTGCAGGATCAGGTTCTGCCTACATGACACCAAAGTGAAGACCCCTGAAACCTCTTTTCATTACCTACATGCTGGTTCTGCTAAGGGTCATGTGCAGAGGCAAAGAGCTGAACACGTGAGCTCAGTGCTCAGCAGCAGCCAAAAGCAGAGAGTGTCTAGAATTACGAGGAGAACTGCAACGTGTGTCTTCAATTATTCATCCAGTTCTGGTTCCACATTTCAAAACAGAAACAGTAGAACTAGAAAAGGTACAAAAATGGCAGCAGCAATGAGAAGCCTGGAATGGCTCATGTATGAAAGATTCAATAGGCTGAAGGCCTCCAGCTCAGAAAACTGAGAAGGAATATCAAAAAGGTATGGAAAACCACAAATGCTTGGGAAAACGGGTACAGTTATTAAATCTTTTTTCATAATGAGAAAAATGGAGCATCCAACAGAATTACCAGACAGCAGACACATTAAATGCAAGGAAGCACCATTTCATACAAGTCATTATTAATTTCCAAAACCAGGATAACAGTAAGTAGATTCTAAAGGAATCATGTGCATGAGTCAAAGTTCCTGAACTGCTGGACAGGGGAAGGAGCTATAACCTGGGGCAGGATCATCCTTCACTTACCAGCTTCCTGTGCATCTTCCATAAACATCAGAGACAGGACACTTGTCTCAGGGAATCTCTGGCCTGACTCATGGCTGTTATTTAACACAGGGCAAGTCTGCCACGTCCCACCAGAGCCAGGTCTCACCAGTGCTCAGGAGCACTCAGGCCTTACCTTGATTTTCTGCACCCTCTCTTTCCTCAGAGAATTTTCAAGTTTCCTTTTTATTTCCAGCTGATGATGACGCTACCAGTGTAAGAGAAAGAGAAATCTCAGTAATGGACAAGAATGAGATGTCAATGAATGTGAGAGCATCTGCTTCTGTTCTGCTCCCTGGCGCTGCCCTCCCTGAGCCCTGCTGTGGCACCACTGTTGAGCCCACCCATCCACCTTGCACCCGTGGGTGTTGGCATTGGCCAGGGAGCAGCTGATCTTTTGCTGCAGGGACCAGCTCCATTCTGGACAGGCAACAGGAATATGCCCAGACTTGGCACTCGGATAAGATGCACAGCCATGTTCAAACTGTTTTGATTAGAATTTTTTAGGCAAACTAGCCCTCTGAGTATCATCCCATAACCTGATGACCACCCAAGTGCAGTGAGTGAGCCAGGACCATGTGTTCTAACGCCAGACTGGTTACCAGCTGGAGCCCAGCAGAGGTGCCCTGTGGGCCCATCCAGCACAAAGCCTCAGCTTTCCCAGCAGGACGGAGCCTCTCAGAGCAGCACGAGGGCACCGCTACAGAAAACAGCCACCCACTGTCAGCAGGGCAGTGTCTGGACAGGCTATCACCTCACAGCACACACATACCTCCATGTCAAGGACCTTGTGGAAAATGGCCCGAGCCAGGCACTCCTGCACCTGCTGCTGCTGGTCCTTCCTCATGGCGTTCAGCCGATATTCCTTCTCGGGAATGATCCTGCCACTCCTCGAGACCTGCCGGGAACAGGCACCACGCAGCGAAAAGGAAGAGGAGAAGACAGAATAAAGGATGTTTTAAGCCGAGGGCAACTTCCCAGAAGGACTGCTTTCTCTTCCCAGTTAGCTCCCAGCACCTCTGCTGCTGCCACGGTGCGGGAATTATTTTGGCTTTTCCTCAGAAAAGGAAATCTCAGTCTCACCAGTCCTGATTTCTGAAGGTGTCGTCTTATCCGGGTATTGTTGAAATATCCAACCAGGTGTTTGTCTGTAAGGCTGTTGTAGGTTGCCAGAAATCTGAAATAAAATCAATGCAGATGCACATAATCCCCTTGAGAGCCAAATCATTACAGTTAAGAAGACTTATCCAATAGTCTGCTGCACAAAACGCTGCCTGGATCAATCACGCCCAGCGTTTTGTCAGATAAATGCCCATTAGATCATGTAAAAGCAACATCTTGTTGCCTCGAGAAGACTTGTGTCAGGAACAAGTGACTCCTACACCAGGCAGAGCAGCACAGCACCAGATGCACAACCCCCAGACCAGCTCCTGCCACGGCCTCCTCAGATGACAAGCTCTGGCCCTCAGCAGGTCAGCACCACCCAGCACACCCCCTGGAGGTGGGTTCCTGGCCAGGTCCCTCCCTGCCCTGCCATGGGTCCTGCTGGAAGTGCATGAGCATCCTGACCACCTCTGGGCAGAGGGACATCTCAGGCCTCCTGCACCACCACCCACCACACCCCGTCTCCCCCTCCTTCTGCCACCTCCAGACTGGTGAGAATGGCAGTGATGGCATTTCTGGCAGCTTTTCCAGGCATATTTGTAAGACAGGACAATGGGACACTGCTTCCATAGTATTTTCACTGGCTTGAAAGTCAGCATACACCTTACTAACTTGGATGCAGATCTTTGCTCTGAAGAAGACAACTTCTTTGTGCTTTCAGCCAACACTTCCTTCAGTATCCACATTTCCACCCATTTTTATGGCAATTTCCTCTTCTTTACCGTTCCCACCATCAGGCCTGTACATCAAGTTCATCACTTGGAACACCTGCACTGAAAACTGTGGCTTCAACTTCAGGTGTCAATAACCACACTTAGTCTCCCCTCCTGTTTGGACTCTTGGGATTCAGCAACACCCCTGCCAAAATGTTGCCTTGCCCATCACTGATTTGTTCCTAACACAAAGACTGGAGCAGGAAACAGGTCTCCTTTTGGCCTCTACACCAAGTGGACTCACAAACCACCTGGGAAAACAGATCCATCACAGCCAGGTGAGGAGCTGAACTGTCTGCTCCAGGGACCACAGACACAACAACAGTGACTCCAGAATGTTATTTACATAAACAGACAAGAATGCTTATACCACAAACATATTCATAAAATCAATTGCACAAAACTTGCACAGGGCAGGATTCATAACTTCTGTGGTGTTTACAGGCTAGAAAGCATATGCCACTGCAGCAGGCTTTTGCAGGCTGTCACCATATGGCAGCAGTTTGTCTCAAGTGCAACTTGCATTGATGAGAATACTTCTTTTTTTCCCTGCTCCACCCAAGAAATGCCACGTGTCTCTGGGAAGCCAACAGAGCTAAATCATCACAGAGATGATGCGGGACCCAAAAAACTGAACCTATTATACAAGAGCTGAACACAAAAACTGAAGCATCCATAATTAGCAGGTGTATTTTTAAATAGTTCTTAGCACAACCTTATCTTCACCCTCTGGCAAAGAGGACAAATGACACGGTAGGTGACAGTCAGCTTAAGGTTTATTACCCTAAATCCTTTCACATCTGTAAAATGCATACACTGAGATACACCCTGCATCATAAGTGCAGCCTGACCTTTGGGCTCTCTAGGCAGGATGTGTTTTACTTACACAACAAGAGATTGATCTTCTTTGGCTTTAGATTTAAATGCCACTGCACCTCTGCTATGGATCCTTCAGTGAGATAATTCAAGATGCATGGCATTGCTGGGCTGAGCTGCCATACACATAAGTATACTCAAGGGAAGAAAGAGCAATTTAAAAAGAAAGAAAGAAAAGAAATCCATAAAAAGGAAGAGATCATGGACTTACAGGAATGTATCTGGGGTTTCACAATAACCTCACAGGTAGCCTACCAGCAATAAATTAAACTTTAAACAAACCAATTTAGCTTACCCTGTTATGCATGCTGATTAATCACTCACAGTGTAGCAACTGTTCTACTTTACTTTTTAATCCACTATTTGCATTTGCATTTGAAACCTCCAGATTACATCAGTCATGCTGAGTATTGACTTATGGCATCACCTGGCAACTGCACGCAGAGGCAGAGGAGAAACTCAATCCAATTCCTTTTAATTTGCTTCCTTCCATCTAATATTTCAGGGCCCATATGACTAGTTAGAAGGCTCCCCCATCAGCACAGCCCTGTAGCACCTTCAGTTTCAAACAAGCCTTCATACACACATTTCCTCATTTAAGTTATGAACAGGCTGGTCCTCAAAAATGCTGAATTAAAGTCAAATTTCAAAAGGGTTTTTGAGGCAATAAGGAAATGTTTTGGGCCTGAGGCAAAACCCATTAAGCCACTGGGAAGAATGCCCCTGGATGCCTTGGGTTCTGCCTGCCTGGGATCAGCTGCCAGGAGATGCAGCAGGGAGGGAGCTGGAGGACACCAGGGGCTGTGGGCAGGGCTGCCTGGGCTCCCTGCAGCTCCTGCCCCTTTTCCTGCTCAGTTCAGCTGACTCCTTCACCCTCCACCAGGTGATTCTGGGCCAGTTTAGCTGGTAGTGGGAAATCTTGCTGTCATGCTTGGGCTTGGCCCAAATCCCTCTGGAGCCTCCTGCTGATACCCAAGGATCAGACCCACGAGGTGCTCCTTTTTATCTGCCTGTTTATCTTCTCTCTGTGAATTCTAGGTTTGTGTTAGAAAGGCAATTTCCCTGGCACAGCAGCTAGACTGACTGATCTGCAGCTCCAAAATTAATGACACAATTATTTTTAAGGCAATTCTTACACTTTTGAAATTATATCAGGACAAAATCACAGTAGGCATCCTACATTAGTTTTGTAAAGTAGACCTTCCCAGTTAATAATCTGCAGTGCAATTAAATCAGTGACTGCTCACCAAAGCAATAACCTAAGAGAGCACCACAGCTTCAGGATTGGTGGAGTCCCAGGGAGTCCAGCCCCCTGCTCTTTGCCCCACATTGCCCTGCAAACCCCCAGCCCAGCCCCTGCTGGAGACCACTCCTCACCTCAGCAGGTTGCTGGAGCATCCCCTGCTCCTGCTGGGGACAGACACAGGAAAGGCTTCACGCATTCAGAGAGAACACACCCACCAACCCCCAGCTCAGCCTCCCATGGCAGAGGCTCCTGCCTGGAACACTCCACTTGGGAGCAAAGACTCTGAGGAGACTTCCCAGACCCCCAGCCCCTGCCTGACATTCCCTCCCCAAGGAAACTCTTCAGCCACCAAGAAGTATATCCCACGTGCAAAACCAATGCTGACAGGGGCTGCAGAGGGGTGAGCAGATGGTGCCAAACTGTTCTTCTGCAGAACTGAGATTCAGCATTAAAGCCTCCACAAAAGGAGACTCTTGCTCTGTCAGGAGACGGGGCTGTAACTCCTGAGGACTGACTCCTCTGACTGCAGCCCCCAGACCACAGCCACCCTCCAACAGCAGGAAGCTGCAGCTGGGTCAGTGGCCAACACCATGCACCACCTCTGGGCTTCACTCCAGGCACAGCTCTGGCTTCTGGTTTAGGATTTTCAAGCACCACAGCTGTGCCTACGAGCAACCACGCTGGAACACAGCTACTGAACCCAAACTCACTGGAGGCAGCAGGTGACTTGAGAGATGGGGCTTTGGAGTCTAACAATAATTAATCAGTTTATTCCAAGCTAACAAAACCCTTAAGCACACGTGCAGTGTTACTCAGGTGGCAGCCAAAGGAGGAGAGGTCTCTCCAAATCACACTGTAATGCTGCCTCAGTCTTTGCAGGACCCCTTCAGCCCTGGCCATCCGACCTCAGTGAGGACACTGCCCATCTGACCACATGGACACACAGGTCACACCCACCCAGGTGTTTGTTTCAAAAGCTTCATGAGTTTTTCTTCACTCTCTGTCTAAGCTGAACTATTTAACAGCCAAACCATGGCACATTCTCTGCTCTGATACTCAGAACCACTTTACTTTATGAATACTTTGCCCCAGGGGATGGTCACCAAGCTCAAACGCATCCACAGATCTCTAAGCAGATATCGAAGAGCTTGTTCTGGCTGTGCCCAGAGGTAGCCACGATGCTCGGGAAGGCAGAGGGACTCAGCCGACACGGTGCCTGCAGGCAGCACAGGACCCTCACCAAGCTCATCAGGGACAGGTGGAAGTCCTGTCCCCGGGAGGCACAGCCCCGTGTGCTGCCCAGCAAGCTCAAACGCATCCACAGATCTCTAAGCAGATATCGAAGAGCTTGTTCTGGCTGTGCCCAGAGGTAGCCACGATGCTCGGGAAGGCAGAGGGACTCAGCCGACACGGTGCCTGCAGGCAGCACAGGACCCTCACCAAGCTCATCAGGGACAGGTGGAAGTCCTGTCCCCGGGAGGCACAGCCCCGTGTGCTGCCCAGCAGGGCAGCAGAGCTGGGGAAGGGGCAGCAGAGCTGGGGAAGGGGCAGCAGAGCTGGGGAAGGGGCAGCAGCCCCAGCACTGCAGCAGGCTCAGGGAGCTGCAACACCTGCCCTGCTTGGAGAGGCTGAAGGAGCTGCCACAGCCCTAAGCAAGGCTTAAAGTATTTTATTTGAAGTCCTGTTTATTTCTTCATAAAAGAGCTTTTCATGTACAACACTTTTTCAAATACTTTTAAATACCCCAGTTGTGCTACTGGTTCCAATTTGAACACAAGAGGACAAGGAAATGGGAGCCAAAAGCCTGCTGGTCAGTGACTGGAGGCCCTGAGCGCGCTGGGTCACTCTCTCTACCCAGAGCACCGCGCAGTGCTGGCGCGGGATGTGTCGGACTGCCCTGCCGATGCAGAACTAAAGAAG